TTTTATATTTTTAACATTTTAGGTCGCAGCTCCAACAGTCACTGTACCACATCGATTTACCGATATGCAACAGTATCGGTATAAGTAAGTAATTAATAAGAAATGATTATAAATGAAAATATGTTTTCTAGATTTAAAATAGCTTTTAAATTCATTTTAATTTTTAATAGATCTGAAGGTGTAAAGGGTGCAGTTATTGGTATAGACCTTGGAACTACTTTTTCCTGCGTAGCAGTGATGGAGGGCAAGCAAGCTAAAGTTATAGAAAATGCTGAAGGCTCTAGGACTACGCCATCTTATGTTGCTTTTTCAAAAGGTAATTATTAAATTATTATGTATTAATAATGTTAAAATCTTCGTCATGTTATAGTCCATATTAATTATTATTTTAGTGATTATAATTATTCATGTAATGTGTGTGAATAACAAAAATATATATATAAATTAAATTCTGCAAAATTTTCTTATTTAATTTTGTCATTTTTGTAAAATAAACATTTTTTTTAGATGACGAACGTTTAGTTGGCATGCCTGCAAAACGTCAAGCAGTCACGAACTCTGTTAATACATTTTATGCAACGAAACGATTAATTGGACGAAGATTTGAAGATCCTGAAGTGAAAAAGGATATGTAAGTATCATATTAATATGTTTATATCAATTTTTACGATCATATTTGTTTAATATACTAATATGTAATGCGTTCTTACAGGAAGAGTGTAACATATAAAATTGTGAAGGCGTCTAATGGAGATGCATGGGTTCAAGGTGCGGATGGAAAAATGTATTCTCCCAGTCAAATTGGAGCATTTGTACTTATGAAAATGAAGGAAACTGCTGCAGCTTACTTAAATACTTCAGTAAAAAATGCTGTTATTACTGTACCAGCGTATTTTAATGATTCTCAACGACAAGCAACAAAGGATGCTGGTCAGATTGCTGGATTGAATGTTCTTCGTGTAATTAATGAGCCAACTGCAGCTGCACTTGCTTATGGAATGGATAAACAAGAAGATAAAATGTAAGAAGATATATTTCATTGAAGCATAATATGAAAAATACTCTTATAAAAATAATTTATAATACTCTTATAAAAATATATTATAAAATTATAATACTCTTATAATAATTTATAAGAGTATATATATCTTCAGAGCAGATTTTTTTGTCTCTAAAGATATCTTATGCTAAAATACTTTATTATGCTATATTTCTTATATACTTTGCGAAACAATAGGTATGATTAATGTATTGTCCCCTTTTTTTCAGTATTGCTGTTTACGACTTGGGTGGAGGTACCTTTGATATTTCGATTTTAGAAATCCAGAAAGGTGTCTTTGAAGTAAAATCCACAAATGGAGATACATTTTTGGGAGGAGAAGATTTTGACAACGCATTGGTTAATTATCTCGTATCCGAATTCAAAAAAGAGGTATGAATTTTTTATAACCAAATACAGTTATTCACTGTTTGTTGAAGTAAATTTATGTTAATAATAATTGATTTGTTAAAACAATGCAGCAAGGCATAGATGTGACTAAAGATGCAATGGCAATGCAAAGATTGAAAGAAGCTTCAGAAAAGGCTAAAATAGAGTTATCAAGTTCCCTTCAGACGGATATAAACCTTCCCTACCTTACTATGGATTCTAGTGGACCAAAGCATTTAAATCTTAAGTTATCCAGAAGTAAATTTGAAAGTCTTGTAAATGATCTGATTAAACGTACTGTTCAACCATGTCAGAAAGCGCTTTCTGATGCCGAAGTAACAAAAACTGATATCGGAGAAGTTTTATTGGTCGGTGGTATGACCAGGGTTCCCAAAGTACAACAAACCGTTCAAGAAATATTTGGCAGACAACCATCGAAAGCTGTAAATCCAGATGAAGCCGTAGCTGTTGGTGCTGCAGTTCAAGGAGGTGTACTTGCAGGAGATGTAACAGATGTTTTACTTCTTGACGTTACACCTTTGTCATTAGGTAAAATTTTTACTCAAATTCTATTATTTTATACATGTATGGAACTGTGATGTATTAGACTAATCTTCTCTCTGATAATAAATGAGGACATTGATTTACTGATCTTCCATTCATCCTTCATTACAAATGAAGATACTTTGTGATCAGTAATGAAAAAGAAAATATTAAAAAAATTTTTTTTAGGTATTGAAACACTTGGTGGTGTATTTACGAGATTGATCTCTCGTAATACAACTATACCTACAAAGAAGAGTCAAGTATTTTCTACGGCAGCAGATGGTCAAACACAAGTCGAGATTAAAGTTCATCAAGGCGAGCGAGAAATGGCTGGTGATAACAAGCTTCTAGGACAGTTTAGTCTTATTGGTATTCCACCTGCACCAAGGGGTGTACCACAAATAGAAGTAACATTCGATATTGATGCAAATGGTATTGTGCATGTATCAGCCAGAGATAAGGGAACTGGCAAAGAGCAACAAAGTACGTAAATTTCCTATCACTACATATATATAATATATATATATATATATATATATAATATACATATAATGTTAAAGACAATTAATGCTACAATGATGCCTATATTTTTCGTCTCTGAAACTTATTTGAAATATCAATAAGATTGTAGACTACATTCAACTGAGTTATTATCGTAATAATAACGAATTGTATCTTTTTATGGGCATATTTTGGATCTATGTTTTTTGTTTCACAGTTGTTATTCAATCTAGTGGTGGCCTTAGCAAAGATGAAATTGAAAACATGGTTAAGAATGCTGAACAATATGCAAAGGCAGATAAAGTTAAGAAGGAAAGAGTTGAAGCTATCAATCAAGCAGAGGGAATTATACATGATACAGAAGCGAAACTAGAAGAATTCAAAGCGCAGTTACCACAGGAAGAGGTATAATATTGCTTTTAGTAATTTAGTTTATTTTGTGTGTGTGTGTGATATTTTTGCAAATTTAGTATTTTTATTGCTTTTCTTTTATAGTGTGATAAACTTAAAGAACTGGTTGCAAAACTACGAGAGACTTTGGCTAAGAAAGATGATGTGGATCCTGAAGAAATCAAGAAAGAAACGAACGAACTCCAACAAGCAAGCTTGAAATTATTTGAAATGGCATACAAAAAGGTACTTAATTTATGTAAAAATTAATTTAATGAACATAGATAAATTGTGCTCTACATAACTCAAGGACCGTCATTTAAACATGTTGATTTTACAGATGGCAGCAGAAAGAGAAAGTCAAAATCAAAGTCAATCACAACAGGAACCTGAAGGCGAGAAGAAGGAAGAGAAAAATTAATTTTAATTAAATAATTTGCATTCTGTAAAAAAGAAAAACAGATTCCATTCACATACACTTGTATAAGCGTTTGTTGCTGTTCCGTAATCTCGACAAAGGAACCATTTATTCTAGTGAAGAAAATATAAATTAAAATTTCAATTCTGCGATAACAACCGACTAAAAATAAAGTATTATTCATACATATAGAAAGGAAGAGAGAAAAAAGAAGCAATTTTCTTTATTATATTTAGTGATTCTGATATATAATAGCAATTTTGTGGTATTTATATATATATTTTTTGTAAGTTCCATTCTAAGTATCATACAAAATTATCTTTTATTTCTTGTAAAATTTTAAAAATAATAACGGTTACCACAAGTTTTTTTTAAGTCTGCTAAAAAGGAGTAATTGTATTGTATATTTAGTAGTAATAGCCAATTTTTTAAATATTTGGCTAGTTTTCACATAAAGTAATAAATTATGTATATAGCTAATCACTTGTATAATGAACTAATGCAAATTGATCATTTTTATGCAGCCTACGAATATAATAAGAATGTCAAGATTTCACCGTAATAATTATTGTAAAATGACGTATACCAAAAATAATATGGAAATAATTTGTTAACAAACTTGCTATTGTAGAATGCTTTGTAGCATATTCAGTGAATACGTGTGAGATGAGAATATAGAATCGAGAGAGTGTGAGATGAGTGTTCCTGTGTCCACACAAAACAAATTTACTTTGTAAACGATACATAGATTACCGTAGAGAATATTGTTATATTACGATGTAACAAACTTATGATTTTTTTTATTTAAATATCTTAAAAAGCATCAAATTTTATCGTTTCGTTCTGTTGTTCAATAAATCTTACAAATTTTAATGTATATATGGGATTAATCTTTTATTTGAGTTTCAAATAAATGATTATTAATCATTTCTTACCCTAATGAATTTTATATTTTTATAATTTTTCCAGAGCTATAGTGAATTTGAAGATCAA